TCCTGCAATTTTTATTGGCTCCGAGCCTAATTTTTGTAGATCCTTAGCCCGGGATTTTCTTGACATAAGGGAATCCTACTTGGGCTGATTAATGTGCCACCAATCTGGCACACATTCAAGAATTGCTACAGGTTTAAATTAAAGTACTCAAATATGGTACTCTCACCAATGACAATCGATGCCTGAAACCATTTGTAGTTATAAATAGAGATGCGATCTGTTTTATCCTACGTATATATTTAAAATTAAACAGGTATAAAATTTTGTTATAAAAAACTAGCTATTTTAAAAATCTACGTAATGTTACATTATCATTCTAGATTTTTAAAACAATCACCCGATCAGATCACAAGGATATTATTACAAATGTACGTATATTGATTATATAGTATCAATTGAAGTATACGTACAGTAATTTTGTGCGTTTTATTTTTGCCTTATAAGTAAAATATATATACCACATACTTTGGGACCTTTCTGGATTTTTTACGAACTTACCAGTAATTTTTTATTTTCACTTGTGAAATGTTACATTTTTCAATTGTATAAATGACTATATGACTGTTGCATGTAATCTCGAGCCAGAAATTTTAAACAAAAACATTTCTGAAAAAAAGAAACCCAGGTTTATTAAGAGTCATTATACATTGCCGAGTTAAAAATTTTGTTATGTTCAAAGTCCTCATAGTGGTGATAGAGAAAGCAATTAGTGAACAGGCTGAAAATCGGCTGTGCTATCCAATTTGACGATTTAAATCAGTCGGCCGTTAACGTTAACGGTAATATTTTATTATGACAATTATACGTCTTATTGTAATACAGTATATGCAATGTTCGGGATGTGCAGTCACGCGATGTGAATCAGTTGTGAAGTTGTGAATACTGGAATATATGACTTTCGATGACTTTCGATGACATTCGATAAAATAAATTAAATAAATTAGTAATACAATGATACAATCATCACATGAAATGAAAATTTCCTTAAGTTTCTAGCATATTCTTTTTTTGAAATATTTGGTTATAAATACTTGACCGTAATTTTTTCGGATAACGTCAGTAAATAACATTTTGATTCAATTATTATTTTTTAATTAATTTTATTATCAAACATGAACGCACAACAAAATTCAGATCAACTTAACTTTTCAGAGTTCTCTTCTTTTTTCACACCATTAACTTTTATTATTCATCCTCCACGAGAACAAATACCACAACAAACTCAAACACAACAACAACAAACGCAAATGCAGCAACAAACTCCACAGCAAACTCAAGAACAAACGCAAGAGCCAATGCAAGCCGATAATCCTCAATCAAATGGCTCTAATAATGATAGCGCTCCACAAAACCAATCAAATAATAACAACAATAATAATGGAGCACCACAGATTAATTTCTTCATAACCATTATGCCTGGTACTCCGGGTACTCCTGGTGCTCCTGGTGCTAATAATGAAGGAAATAATCAACCTTCTACTCCATTCATGATCTTTTTCACTCCATTCTTCTTCCCGCAACAAGAAGTTCAACATCCACACGTTTCCGACGTTGCAATGAAAAAATTACCGATCATCACAGTCAATCAAGTACATATAGATACGAAAGCAACTTGCCCAATTTGTCTAGAGCAATTTTCATTAACCGAAGCTACTAAAGACCAAACTCAAACATCAATAAGGCAAATGCCTTGTAAACACATATTTTGTGAATCATGTTTATTTACGTGGTTGAAACAAAATAATACATGTCCATTGTGTAGATATGAAATTAATGATGATCAACAATTACGAAATGAGACGCCTCCATCAACTCCAGATATCACACAAAATGATAATATGATGACTAATTCCACTACCAATTCCTCTGAAGCTACGAGTTCACCCCACCAAAATAATTCGTGCACATGTGATTTGGCACATGTTGGTTGTTATGAGACGCAAGATATAATTATTACATTACCACACTGTCATCATAGATTTCACGCCTCATGTTTAAGAACTTCTTTAATTATTGAAGGCTATTCAATAGATTCATCAAATTCGTTGGAGTTCTTTTGTCCTACATGTCGTGCACCGTCTATTCTTCATTCTGACATGTTAAAGTTTCTAGATAATAATAATCCTGTGGGTCAAAATGACTCACAGTCACCTCCTATATTTGCACCTCATGAAATGGACTTAGATTAAATTTAAGAGAAAAAAATTAAAGAAAAAAAAAGAAAAAAGACATTAAATTTTTTGGTTATTTGTATTTTATAAAAATAATAATATTCTAGATAGAAAAAAATAATAACATTTAGCATTTTTAGCATTTTTGACTTTTTAAGTAAATTTTTGATGTAAAAAATCTATTTTAGTAATATTTTAATATTTTTTTGTAATGTAAAATATTCTGTAAAATAAAATTGAATCTATATAGAGCTATATATAGATTTGAAATCGATTTTCATTACAGCTTACCTGTTACGTATTAAAATATTTTTTTTACACGTGGTTTATCTTTAAAACTTAATATCGATATAGGATCATGATTTATATACTTGTATCATCTTTATAAGGCTAGCCTTGTAAAAAAAAAAAAAAATCAACGGTAGCTTTTACCGCTACAGATTAATCATGGTCGGACTTCACGAAATTATTAAAAAACGTGCGCTTTCTCGGATCTCTATATTATAATTCTTGACTCGTTAATTCGACTTGCTAAATTTCTTTAATCTATAAATTTAGGCATTCTAAACGCAATTAAATCTGTAAATGCACCTGGTGGCTGGAAGGTCGTAGTAGTAGATGACCATTCACTAAAGGTTATTGAATCTACGTGTAAGACCTTCGACATTCTCGAAGAGAAAGTTACCTGTAATTATCTTTTTCTATTTTACCTTGTTTTACTTGTTTGATTGCGTTATATTAATTATTCTTAATGCAGTGGTAGAAAACCTTCAACAAACCCGCCAACCTAATCCAAGTTTTGATGCTGTTTATATCATTACTCCGTCACATAATTCTGTCGAAAAGGTGATTGAGGACTTTACTAGACAAAAGCCTCCTTTATATGCTGGCGCTCATATATTTTTCATATCTCGTAGGTTTTTGTAAAGGCTATTTCCTTGTACAAGCTACTCTCGTTATAATGAACTCTCGAGATATAGATATATTAGATTTTATATTGTATTCTCTTGATGGCTTCATTATAACGAAAGCTACTTGTAATTCAAAGGTTTGCTTATTGTTTTTATTATTCGTTGCTATTAGCTCCTGATGATCCGATCTTTCAAAGGTTGCGCTCTTCTTTACCTCCGAATTTCTTAAAATCATTTGAAATACTCTATATTGATTTTCATGGTAAGTGTAGTGAATCTCAAACATTTTTAGAATTGTTGATTTTCTAGAATCTTTTCAATATCATTAAATATAGAGTTCTAAACCGGATAAATTCGTCATCCGCTTATCCGTATCTAATTATCCGGATAATCTGACAGGTGTTCGGATAATTATCCGGATATCAATAGTAAATGGATAGTAAATGGATATCCGAATAAATTCAGATCCGGATATCTGGATAAATGCTTAATGGATTGGAACTCTAATTAAATATTTAATTATTCTTGCAATTTGACTATTATAACAATTATGCTTTTATAATAGTTCGAGAATCTCAAGTATATTCCTTAGAATCTCCCTCAAGCTTCTTCAAATTATATTCACCTGATGAAAGTCCTTTGTTTGATGGTGAACTGAGAAAACTTGCAAAGCAGGTTGCATAATACTATTACCATTTTTACTATTAAATTTTTCTATTAATTAGTCTTATTTTTAGTCTAATACATTCATCTTTTTATTTACGATAGCTCCTTTCCGTTTGTGTTTCATTAGGTGAAGAAAACCCTTTAATACGTTTTCAAAGGGGAATTGAGTCTGATCATGCAACGAAAGAACTATCTTTAAAATTAGCTCAAATAGTACAAGCCGAGTTCGATGAACATGCAAGAAATAGAAGACGTCAATCACCTGTAAATTTTTGAAATTTTTGGTTTATTATTAATTTTTTTTGAAAAAAAGTGGATTATTTAACATTTTATCAATTTTTATAAATTATATGCTATTTGAATTATTATTATCTTATCAGCCACAAGATATACAACGTCCACGAGCTGTTTTATTTATTGTAGACCGATCTATTGATATGTACACTCCAATATTACATGAATTTACTTACCAAGCTATGGCAAATGATGTTTTGCAAATTGAAAATGGTCGAAAGTTTACCTACAATTATACTGCACAAGACGGTTCAACTGCAACGAAAGATGCTATTTTAGATGAATCTGACACTATTTGGGTTGATATACGACATAAACATATGAAAGATTGTATTGATCAGCTTAAGGGTGATTTAAATAAATTTTTAGAAGAAAACTCTACTATTACTAACAAGTAAGAAAAACACCATTTACATGAAAATTTATAGAATATAGACTTTTTCTTTTAAATTAATATATCATTATTTTTTATATTCATTATATGTATTTAGAGATAAAGAAGCAAATTTAAATGATATGAAAAAAATGCTGGCAACACTGCCTCAATTTCAAGATATGAAGGATAAGGTATTGGGATATTAATTTATTGTTTATAAACATACAAAATGTTATATTATTGTCCGGAGCGAAGCGGTTTCATACGGTGTCGTCTCTAAAATTCTGGTCGGAATTCATCGGAGCTGGATCGGCATTAAGCAATTCTAGCCAATTATGTCTAGTAAAAAATTATGAATTAAGATTAGACTTATTAGATTTAGTGATCTTGTACAAAATTAATCCGGCCGACCAGGATTCCGATGCATTGTATGATAGTGAAGATGTCGTAATCATGTATTTCAGATTACGTCTGGCGAGCACGTGAGTAAATGGCGATCGTTAAATCGTTTCTACTACTCATGTACTCTTGTGATTTGCTCTGGGCAGAGTTATTATTATTTATTATTATTATGAATTTTGAACTAACACATTCGTTGGTTAATAAAGTATTCGGTCCATTTGAGTATTGCACACGAATGTATGAATGTATTTGATAGCGAAAGACTCCCTGAAATAGCTACAATTGAACAGGTATTTATAATTCGTTTAAAATATTTGAGTTAATTCAATTAACACTTTATTTTTCTTTAGAATTGCGCCACTGGATACACTTCTGATGGTCGTCATCCAAAAACACTGGTTGAAGACATGGTGCCATTATTAGATAGTGCCTTTGTTAGGTAATAATGGTAACCAATTTTAGAATTAAAGTTAGACATTTTATACAATCTATTGGTTTTTATTCTTATTATATTATGATTTATTTTAGTTCATATACTAAAGTGAGAGTTCTCATGCTTTACATGATGTATAAGAATGGTATATTAGAGGAAGATAGGCGTAAACTTTTGGCTCACGCGAGGATCTCCTTACCAGAAAATGATGCCATCAATAATTTAACAATGTTTGGTGTTAAATTGATTAGGGTACGTTGGTTATAAATCACTTTTTTTTTTTTTTGTAGCGTATCTGATTAACAATTATTTATTGTATACATATATATATATTTAGTCATCATCGAGCACTTTTAAAAAAACTAAAAAATATAGACAAAAACCTGAAGATCCAGACTGTTATGAGATTTCTCGATATGTTCCAAGATTAAAGTTAGTTTTAGAGGTGCGATGATTTATTATAAAATTTTTTCCTATTTTAATCGTGGTTATTTTAACTAGATGCCCAGTTAAATTGAATGTTAGTTAAGGTTATTAAGGTTAGGGTGGTTCGGTTAAAATAAACACGGTTAATATTAGCAATCCTCGTTTTATTATTTATATGTAACACCATTTTGTTTAATATATGATTATTATTTCATTAGAGTCATATTAATAAAACAATAGATCATACCGCATATCCATATACAAGGGATCCAACAGGCGATCCTGATGAGGTTAAGGTTTTACCGCAAGGTCCTGTTTCTCTAAGAAGGTATGTAAATGTTGATAATTCAGAGCAATGAACATATACTATTATATATTCTTAATTATATGATTGATATTAGTGCTCGAGCTGGATGGAGTAAGAAAGGTCAAACGGTAAGCTTATTAAAAAATTTTACCAAATTAGTTTCAATGACTCTAATATTACTATAAAAATTATAATACTTTAGGCTGCAGGAAATCCTCGTATCATAGTATTTGTAGCTGGTGGTGTTACATACTCTGAACTTCGTTCTGCTTATGAGCTATCAAACAAATATAGTAGAGATGTTGTCATCGGTAAACTGATTTGTTACATTATTTTGTTTCATTTTATTAAAAATTATAATTCTTATTTTGTTTTCGATTTATAGGTTCATCACATATTACAACACCTCAACAATTCATCGATGATTTAAAGCGTCTTCGCAGGCATCCTAACCCTAACCAATCTTACTCATCACCTCAGTCGGTGCACACACCACCTTCTCGTGCAGGAAACCAAAATTATGGTGGTATAAATCCATCATCCTTTTTTAATAGAGCACCATCATCTTCATCTTCTGCATCCTCTGGCGGTTATCATCCACCACAACAAGGTGGATATTTCTCAGGATCACGATCCAAACCTTTTTTTTGAATTGACACTATAACATAATTTGGATGTTTCGTTTTTCGATTAATAATGTTAAAACCCAAATTAAATTTATCATAAATTATTAAAACTTCATTATTTCCATACATAAATTAAAGATTAAGTGATTTAACGGTTAGATAGGGTACATTAGGCTAAATAATTATTTCAAATATCTATACAATAATTAAAAAAATTAATTATGAATGTGAAAGTTTTTTTTTCACATCGGATATAAAATTATAATCGTATATAATAAACTTTCGATCAAGCTTTTTCGAAATTTCAGTAAATGTCTTAGTTTTTAGAAAAGCGAAATCCGTAGTAAAAATCGATGTTTTTTCGATCAAAACCGGAATTGTTAATTGGTCAGATCATAATCCAATTCCCAGTTTTGAGCCATGATCAGAAACTTAGTAAACTAAAATAAATTAATAAAGAAATTTTTTGAAAATATAAAAGCTAATGATTTGAAACGGATATAATTTGACTGGTTAACCAGCCATTTTATTTTATATTTGTTATATATGATTAAATACAGGGTTTCGGAAGAAAAATTTAATTAGAATAAACCAATAAAAAATTAAGAAACGTTCAAATTAACAGTCATAGGACATGTCCTTTTACAGGGGTTCCAAATGTTGATCATATGAAAATTTAGACGTCGATCATCTAAAAAATTTTACCCTTGCTAAAGGTTTTTCCTATATGACCTCAAATTCGTGAAACCATCCAACTATTGCTTTTTAAGTCAAAAATGTAGTTCGAACATTACTTTATTAAATTACAAAAACTCGATTCTTAATCTTCTCTAGTTCGAAGAAAATCTTCGGTTGAGTGTGGAGTATCCTAACCCATGTAATACATATGGTTCTGTTCGAAATTACAACAAACTACTTCCCCAACAGCTCAATTTCCTCAGCTCCACTTCCCTAAAATGATTTCTCATCGATCTACTTCACTAAAAACCAGTTTCGCGACAACCTACTTTACCAACAATAATACTTGATCGGCTTGAGATTTCATGTTACATATATTGTTAGATATACCTGTTTTATACCTTTACTGATTCGACATTTTTTTTTTCTTTTTAGATTTGTTATTTCAGTATTTAAGTTCTTCAAGTTCTTCAACCACAGATCTAAGTGGGATCAGGCGTGTAGTTTGTATTTCATGTGTAGTTCTCATTTTATATAATTACCTACATAATAACTAAAAGAACAAATAGCATACTCAAAGAATATCTATTAATGCATTCTTTTTTCTTGAGTTTCTTTTTCACAGTGTCTTCGCTTTTTTTGATTGCCGTAGCGTAGAGTGTTCAGAAATCTGCGGTAGCAGAATCTGCGCAGAATTCTGCTCTTGTTCTGCTCACTGAATAATAACCTATTGATGGACATAGCCTATTGTGTTTAAAATTAGATTTTCTTTTGTTTGATTTTTTTTCTGATTTTGTTTTTAAAGTATTATTTATACGTTACCGCAGAATCTGCAAATTTAACAGAAATCGCAGCAGAATTCTGGACACTCTACCGTTGCAGATTAGTCGGGATAGCGTTTGAAAACACGGGGTGTCGCACTAAATCTAATTTTTAGGCTTGGGCTTTAATGGCGGCAGGTTAGTTAATGATTGAGAATTGTTGGATGAATTTGGATTAGTTGTCTTTTTTTTTGGCTCGCATTCTTTATGCATCATTGTTCCAAAATTTTTTTTCTTTTTATAAATTTTTTTTTTCATTTATTTTCATGATCATATTTTGTTGTTGGTTCACATTCATATTCATTGTGTATTCGCATTTCTTTATGTAATTTATGTGATTTGTTTCATAATTACTTTTTTTAAAATAAATAATAGCAATGGATTATATTGAACATCGTTTATTAGAGTGAAAAAGTTACATTAAATAAAACTTCAAATATAAATTATTTCATTGAATAAAAAGTGCTAATAAAACTATTGTCTTCTCATTACATCAAGATTCATAAGAAATCGTTTGTGTAAAAATACCCTTAAAGTAATATATAGTTTCGAAATAATACCCATGTGCACCTTGAAATAATGAGCACTCCATGTAAGATCTTTAAAGCCGTGTATTAAATTCTTTGATGTAGTGAATTCTTTGTAATTTAGCCAATCACATAAATGTTACACTATGTCAAAAAATTAGCCTTTGTCTAAAATGAAATACCCGGAATAACGCATAGATAGGTTGTTACGCGAAAATGCGATACAGTTAATTGCACAAGTGTTATAGTGTTTCGAAAAGGTTTCATCTGAATAAACATATTTGGTTTTTGCTCTGGTATGATCTATTTTTTGAAAAAATGTTTCAGAATTAGAAAAATAAGCCAAAAGACTGGCCAAATTGCTATCGTAACATCATTTTGCCTATTGTATAAACTAAACAATCAGTAAGTAAGTGAATATTAAATGTCAAAATTTGTGGAAAAAAAAAAAGGTATAAATAAGTCTCGCTATCATTCCTGCTAAAACATAAATCTCAAAATTTCTTTTCTAAAAAACAATCCAATCATATTGATATCGTTTACTCTACAAACTATTGAATAAATTATATCTATTGCTTAGTTTACAATTAAATTTCTATAAAATAATCCATCCAAACAATGACTGATTTTGAATCTACTTATTTTGAAGAATTTGATGCTTCGGAAAATTACGAAGAGGAGTTCATCATCGACTCTTTGATTCTTGAAAATGCACAAACCTTATTACATGATGACGAAATTGAAACCATTGACCTATATGGAAATGAAGGCATTGACTTGAACAAGTTTGAACTTAAGAATTTTGTTGAAATGGATATAGAAATTGAAGAAGGTTTTATGAATACACTGAAATTAACACAATGTGTTATTGTAGATGTTATTCAAGGCGAGATAAAGTGCTACAATAGCACAAAAAACCTATGGCCATTGCGACAAATGGTAGAAACATGGGAAATTGATCTACATACAGTTGAAAAATACCGCGATAGCACAACAAATCTATAGCGATTGCGACAAGCAGTCGGAAATATTACTGAATATTCTCGACTTGGTGTATGTTATTCCCATTTTCTATTTGATCAGAACCAACTTCATAAGCCGGGGATGAAACAATCATGTTTGATCAATAAAGGCACTATTCATTTTCAGATTTGTTTTTTCTGTAATAAAAAAAATGCTTCTTTAGCCACGGAAACTGTTGTACAAGCTATTCATGGAATGTCAATGAACGAAATATTCAAGTACCTTGCATTGGTGTTTTTGAATGTCCTGCATTCTTTGAGAGATGTATTGCAAAAAAATCATTTTCCGGTTATCGTGTTACATCTGCTCAGAATGCTTTCAACAAAACAGTAGACATTTATATGGTAAACCCAGTAGAGGCAGAGATATTTTACCATATGCGCATCATGAGGATACAAGCGACACCCTAAAGCTTATCGAAAAATGGTTAATGTTTGTAGCAGAGTCAGAAGATCGTGATCTACAAGAAAAACTTTTATCCCAGATATCCCCCATGTTAACTACTATTAATTATGAGACAGAGGATACAAATTTATCAAACTCAGAAAAAAAAACATTACCGAGTAAGTTGCTTGTTAAAACGGCAATGAAAATGAGAAAGGTTGAATTGAATAGATTAAACAGGTTAACCGGAGGGGAGTCTCATATAAATCTGAAAAAGGCCTTAGTAATAGGTAAAAAACTAGGAAAGGAAATTTTAAATTCATGTTCTGAAATTAAGGATAATAAAAATCAGTTAGAAAACCCAAGCTCATATGAAGACTACTTCGAAGCATTGCCTGCTGTCATTTGTAGCTTCTTTTAAGCCCTTCTAACAGTACTACAACAACATAAACTAAAAATAGTTAATAATAAGAGGCATCAACGTGGGCTTTCTTTAAAATCTCTTGATATAAATCAAATATCAAAAACTACTACTTTACTGATTTCAATGCTACTTACCATTGCTTTTCCGGGAACAAAAATCTGGCTTTCGAATATTATATTATCGATATGCCAAAACCAAAAATTACTACCACACCTACAAGAGATTCTTTATTCGGCACGTGTTATCTCATACACTAAGCAGCATGAAAATCATTTTGAAAATTTAAGGATACAGTATATCGACCCTAGAAATAACTTAATTGAAGGACCAAATGTATGGAATCTGGTGGTAATCGACAATATTGACTTTAAAGCTTCTACATTCTCATACGGCAATATTTTTGACATTACATAGCAGACTTCACACGCAACATTGCGAATGGTATTCCAGTTCACTCTTCCTGATTCACCCGATTATCTAATTGAAGATTATGAATCTGCTACTCAACCATTGTTTGGAGAGTCTTTGACCACTGATAATATTTTAGTAATATATGAAACTATCTTAAATAGAATGTTAGAGAATTATGAAAATGACTTTGAAATAGAAGATGTGCATTCTGAAATTACCAAACAAATACCTATAGGTTGCAATATTTCACCACCAAAAATTGTGATACTAAAACCCGGTGATCCACCATCTTGCAACGATAATGTTCATGCAGCATGTGAAATGTATCACGATGATTTACCTCGTGGTTGTGACAAGCGTCTATACATTGCATACGACTAGGCAATCTTTGGGAGATTAATCTCTTATAAAGAAACCCATAACGATGTTCAACTTCTTTTAGAACAGTGGCATACATCTAAAGACATGTGCTGCACTTTAATTACTATCTTTTCTGGATATAAAATATTTAACCTTGCAGCAACTCTTGGAGTACGATTTCTAGACAAGTTTGAACATGTAATAGATTATCGAGCAACATGTCGTGTTTTAGAATTGATTTGGGTTGCAGTTGGGATTGCATTGTGTCAGTATGTCAAAATAAAACAATGAACGATATTTTAAGTGGTAATAATTACCTTGTAAAGGTGTGATATCTCTTCTTTCGCTGGACAGGATATTTTATAGGCCATAAAATTGGAATTAGAAGAGGAAATTA